ACTAAGATGCCCTCTAGATCACCGTTAAATATAAGATTTATGTTTGAAATACCTTTACTCCACAGCTGCACCTGGCAACAAAATGTATTCAGAAGCGCATTTTGAAGAAAGGTATCGTTTGTGTAGGCTACTTGTAGACGAACTTTGAACGGGACCTGATCTGACCTGACCCAGGTAGAGAGCAGAAATGGTCAGAATGGACTTCCCAAAGGCGCTTCTTTTAGCGCCTTCAACACCGGTCTGCATGTGAAGCGATGTTGTTTTGTTTTTTTAGAAACACGGCAGTCTACCGCCGGGGCAGGCTGCGGCTGGCAGCCGACGATTCTGCGGACTGGCGCGGCTGGCAGCCGACGATTCCGCGGACTGGCGCAGCGGGCAGCCGACGACTCCGCGGACTAGCGCGGCGGGCAGCCGACGATTCCGCGGACTGGCGCGGCGGGCAGCCGACGATTCCGCGGACTAGCGCGGCGGGCAGCCGACGATTCCGCGGACTGGCGCGGTGGGCGGCCGACGATTTTGCGGACTGGCGCGGCCGGTCGGCACTATCACATTAATGGAGCCCTACATCATAAGCGTATGCTCAAGCGCGCATAACATTGCATAGCAATGGTCTCAAAAGTACACTACGAACACGCCGGTAGAATTTTCTTGCCACTGTAAGGTATGGTCATGTACATATGAACACGTGAAACAGAAAGAGTTTGGATTCAAGACAATTTTAACCTTGGCCTGGCCTGGTGGAGCCAATTTTTCAAGCCTGCTTGACAAAAAACGGCGAATCAAGACGAGAGCTGTTATTTTGTTTTCAGTTTTGTGGTATCACCGTTCGCCAAGCCATGACGGAAATGCCCGAAGACGGTAGCGCAGTCTTACCAACGCGCTAAACCAGACCAGATATTGATATAGACCGCTGGCCTCCAATAATAACATGCTGACACTGACGGCTAGCGTAGTGTTTCTACATCGCTGCTTGATCGTTAATACGGGCGGGCTTCCAAAAAATGATAAGAATTATGAGAAGTTGTGACACATTTCCGATTCATTTTGTCTCTCCTTTTTTGTTGAGCTTGCTGAGAAGCAATAATCCGGCAGCTTTAGCCTCAACACGGGCCCAGTGAGGGATGAGTGCCGCATTGCGGTACATCCGTTGCGGAAGTATCTTGTGAAAGATGATGCGCAAAAGTAGACATACGTCATGAGTTAAGAATGTGTTGGAGGTTTAGACGCGCTCATTGGATGCATCTCGCTTGTTCTGGTCGCAAGCATTCGCATACTGTCTTCGTTTTGAAGGACTTCCGTTGTCGATCTATGTTATTAGTACTTTAGTTATTTGTTTCAGTCGAAAAGACCTCGAGACACGCGTAATATCAATGGAGTTCAGCTTTTAAAGAGAGTCTTCCACTTTTGTGTAGGACTGTGATCTGACACTGCCATCTTGAAGATCATTCGGTACCGTTTGCATAGCTGCCCTTCTTAAGACTTCAACACATCTAGCTTCTGAGACACACGCCCTCGAAGATGTGCAGACTACTTCAAGGTCAGCCAGGCATCTATGGCGCCACTGATGACAATTTCTAGATAAAATGGTCGCCCACCGGCTCTCAAGCAATATTGCGCACGGTAGGATGACGCACTCAAACAATGACGTATTGAGGAGCACTTTTCCTAATTAGACAAACTGTGTTGTCTAGAGCAGTCTTTTCCACTTCAAAGTAGACCAATAGTTGTAAAACAGCTTAGTTCATCATACTTGTGCTTGTGTTTGTTGCACTTGTACTTGTGCTTGTGCTCGTTTGTGGCGTTTGCTTCAATATCTTCAGATGTGAAACATTCCCTATAAAATGACTGCACGATAGAGGACATCTCATGATAAATTCCAGTGCACCACAGAGAAGCACGGCACACTGCCGTGACAAACGTTTGCACTGTAAAATGAGTACGTACCGTGGAAATTACCCATGCTCATGACATGTCCATGACTGGTGTGCAAATGTGTAAAACGCAGGATATCATGTAATGCAAACTGTGGAAACGAGCAAAGAACGCATCATCTGCAGCTGTACGTATTTGTCATGAACCTAATAAAGTGGCTATCGGACACAACCTACGCGCTATAAAGCGTCCTGAGGTTCATTTTACCGACTGTTATATTCCAGGCAGGGAGGATTATTGCAGCGGTTTGTAGCCAGTGACGGCTTGTGCGGACTGATAGCAGACAGGCCTCAGGGAGCGGGCCGTTCCAACGTAACCGAAGAGACACGCACTGACACAACTATGGCTGAAGGAAGAACAGCGATGAACAAGTGGATGACCATGTTACTTGCTCTCGCACTCCGCCTTGGCCTTGGCATAAGCAGAGCCTAGCATTTTGGCGCCCTTGTCGTTGACGGCATAGTACGGCAGGTCTTTCATCTTGGCAAGCCAAGCCTTGATCTTCGGCCAGGCAGACAGGTCGATACCAGCAGCATCCAGAGTTGAAACGTTGGCCAACAGCGCCAGATCAGCCACCGTCATCTCGTCGCCAGCCGCGTACGCAGATCTGGACAGGAATATCTCCAGAGCATCCAGGTTTTCCTTCACCTTGCCGAAGTTGTCTTGGGACTCCTTCAGGTTCTTCATAAACAAGAGCGGGAACTGAAGCACAGATGCATTGATGCTAGTCACAGAAATTACGTAGTGTTGATATTAAAGAGAATGCAAAACACCTTAACCTCACCTCATGTCTACACACAACGAGGCAGGCGAATGTGTATGCATGGAAGGACAGAAATACATAAGGAAAAATAAAAAAGAGGCATAAACAGGTAGGTATAGGTGAACAGAGGGACAGGCAATGGTATAGATATCTATAGGGTGGACGGATAAAGAGAAAGAAAGTGAAGGCGGGTAGGAGAGAGAGAGAGAGAGAGAGAGAGACAGAGAGAGAGAGAGAGAGAGAGAGAGAGAGAGAGAGAGAGAGAGAGAGAGAGAAGAGAGAGAGAGAGAGAGAGAGAGAGAGAGAGAGAGAGAGAGAGGAGAGAGAGAGAGAGAGAGAGAGAGAGAGGGAGGAGAGAGAGAGAGAGAGAGAGAGAGGGGGGGGGGGAGAGGAGAGGTGTGGGGGGGGGGGCGAGATGGCAAGGGTGCGAGAGAGAAAGAAGAGGCAGACCATGAAAGGCGAGTATGACGGGAAAAACCCAGAACGATTAGAGGCGAGGGAGACGGAATTAGCAAGAGGCAAGACTGAAACAGAAGCAAGATGCTATCGTCTCACGGGCGGGCAAGCACCATATCAGCTGGCTCTTCAGTTTCCACTGGCTTTATCGGGCTAGGAACCGGTTGCAGCCTGCCCCGGCGGTAGACTGCCGTGTTTCTAAAAAAAAAAACAACATCGCTTCACATGCAGACCGGTGTTGAAGGCGCTAAAAGAAGCGCCTTTGGGAAGTCCATTCTGACCATTTCTGCTCTCTACCTGGGTCAGGTCAGATCAGGTCCCGTTCAAAGTTCGTCTACAAGTAGCCTACACAAACGATACCTTTCTTCAAAATGCGCTTCTGAATACATTTTGTTGCCAGGTGCAGCTGTGGAGTAAAGGTATTTCAAACATAAATCTTATATTTAACGGTGATCTAGAGGTCATCTTAGTTGAACTTAAGTCAAATTTATGTACCATTCAAATGAAAAAAATCAAGTGCTATCCGGGCCGATGTGACCAGTGCAATGAACTTCTGTGGTCAGAAATAGTGATATAGTAAGAACAGCGACAACAATAATAATAATAGTTGTACATCTACAAGTACTCAAGATCGCATAGCTGTCATTTACATCATACATAGTCCTTTCCACGCTTGTCAATGTATTTGTAACATACTGAGAACAGGCATGTTGGGACATGAAATTACACGCCATCAGCTTCACAAATACGATAAGGAAGTGGTTTCACGGGATGCACTCGTTCATCTAGTCTCTCTGCTACTAGTGGCATTGTGGGGGAGGGGGGGGGGGGGTTCTTGCGGTGGGCGTCGTGCGCGGCTGCCTGGCCGCCGCTGGATGTTATACGTCGCCGGCTGCCGCTGTCACGCCGTCCCACAAGAGCAAATTTATAATGAAGGGCCCATTGGTCAGCATGCGAGCCCGATGATGTTAGCGCACGGTTCGGCACGTTGTGGGTCCGGTACACCCGACACCAACACGCACTCATGTGAGCCACACAGCTAGGATGAAGCGGGTGACCGGGGCATTGGCGGGATGGTGGATCCGGTCGGGCACCATGAACGGCTGTCTCCCCGCCCATGGCTGTGCACCCTTTAACCACGGTATCCATCTCCATCCTTAAGCTTGCGATAATATTTAAATGGGGCAAAAACGGGATCGCGTGCAAACTTATACACCCAACTGGCAAGGGTCCCACGCACTGGTGAATTATATTGACAAGAGCCGACTGGGTAATGGCCCTGGGACCCCCCCCCCCCCCCCGGCCTCAACTAATCCACGCAGGCTCCATGCACTCCGCGCCCCATCACACCCATTCCAAGCATTCGCATACGCTGGCGCCCACATCATCTCATTCATTCTTGGCACGCACACGGGTGGCCCCCCCCCCCCCTTATTTCTCGCGCCTTGACATTATAATTGGCTCGTCTGTGTGGGCCCTCGTTAAGTTTAATCCATTTATCACATTTCAATCTTGCCATAAAGCTACGTTTAAGCCCCGTTCAAAGTGTATCACGTTGATTTGCCAGCTTGGCACCGAAGCAGCTGCTGGGCCGACACCGAGTGTCCGAAGCTGAGCGGCGACTCGTTCCCTCGCCTGACCTCCAGGGCAACGGCTCCCTATTTGGACGACGTTCCCCACGTTCCGTCCACGATGGGCGGCCCACCGTTCGCATGGCCACATCAAGCCGTGGCTGTCCATGGCCCAATGGTGTTCTATACCTCGTCTGCGCGCCATCAGTGGTGCCGCACAGGCACTCTCCGTTCCCCCTCGTTCCATCACTGCCTTGACATCGCGCCTCGCCCCGCAGCGAAGCCACGCGCCTGACCCTCTACGCCGTGGAGGGCAGCCCGCCATGCCGGGCCGTCTTCCTCACCCTCAAGGCCATCGGACTGGACCGCAACCTCAAGATCATCAGTATGCAGGATGGCGAGCACAAGACGCCCGAGTTCCTCAAGATGAACCCGCTGCACACGGTGCCGACCATGGACGACAACGGCGTTCACCTGGGCGGGAGGTGGGTGTGAGACGCTCTGCCTGCGGACCAAAAGTGGGTGTGAGACGCTCTGCCTGCGGACCAAAAGTGGGTGTGAGACGCTCTGCCTGCGGACCAAAAGTGGGTGTGAGACGCTCTGCCTGCGGACCAAAAGTGGGTGGGAGACGCTCTGCCTGCGGACCAAAAGTGGCTGCGAAAATGTCCGGGGAGGCGCGCGGGAAGCGGCCGCCTCGTTCGGAGCGGATGCGATGACTCGTCTAAAAACTGTGCGTGACTTTTGGAGGTGAACGAGGAAGCAGAAAGGCCTTGGTAGTGACAAACTGTCGGAGCTTGTCACTCAGTACTGGGTTTAATGCATCATGTTGCGCGTAATGCGGATTGGGCGGGGAAGACGCCGATTCGGCCGTGGGAGCGGGTCTCAGGGACGGGACATGAACAGGCCACAAGAATGGGAGCTAACATGTCTCCGTCATTGCCAAATGGGATGAGATGTGTTAGTTTCGGCCTTATTTTAGCTGACCGTGAGTTCAGAAGATCATTGGAGATAACGCAGACCAGTGGTCTTCAAACTATGGGTTGTGACCAAAGCATGTCTATTGTTGTTGTTGTTTGTCGTTTTGTTGGGTCGTCGGGACTCTGACGTAAACATGAAGATACCTAGAAATGGGGATAATGACTATTTGCTCTTTGGTTGACGATCTGTTGCCCGGTTGAATACTAAGCCAAACACGAGCTTAACCAGATATCAACAGCTTCAAATAGAGACATTTCGTTTTTTAGAATATGCTCTTTATGTGAGTGCCTCTTAACTCGCGCTCAGGGGGGGGGTCAAATTGACCCCCCGAAGGCTTTTCCAGAATGGTTTCCGAACGGCGCCGCGTAGCCGCGCCCTGCATAACTGTAGACAATTGCGGATTCAAAAGCGGATCGTTTGGCATCAAAAATTTAGATACACCTTGTAAGGTCGCTGACCTATGGCAAGTCAAAGTCAGGCTATGGTTTCAGTGAAGGCAATTTCTAGGAATCCTTCAATCCGATCCCACAACGGAGTGTTAGACGAAGCCATACATCTCTGAGATGCTTTCTTAAGCAACACAACAGTGGATTGAGCAAATTGCACTGACCTAAGGTCAGACATAAAGGTCACACCAAGGTCAAAACCAACATGTTTTGTTTCTATACGGATTGCTGTATGGGATGGTCTCTGGTGCTCATTTCAAATTTACTGATAGCAGGAATCGCATTTTACATGTTCCGTGGAGTTGTTAGAGGATAGAATAGGTTATTGACCTAAAATGGCCCAGGTCAACAATTTGTTTTAGAAACAAGCGTAATCTTTGTCGCTTGGTAAATGCAAAACTCATAGCAATCTTGCATGATTTTTGTCACCTTGACCTTCAAAAGGTCAAACAAGATTAATGATCTTGAATGAGCGTGAGATCTTTTGCTTAGAAACGGTTATCTAGGTTCTGGGGGCACTTTGGTGACCAGCCTGGAGCTTGACCTTGTTTGGCCTTTTTTGACCCCAGGTCATGATCTAGGAACCTGAAACTTTGACCTAAGTGAGTTCACGTACAGGTCAACACATCTTGTAAATGTAGTATCTCTGGCTTTTTTAGTTCCCTAGATCTCAGCTGGGTCAAATTGACCTCAACCGAGCAAAGGGTATCTAGCCAGCCACCCGGGCGCGTGTTAAAAAATATCCCACGTTGCGGGTAGGGTACAAAACTGAATGCCGGCTGAAGAAAAGTTGACGACCACCGCGTTGGCTCAGAGAGTGGTGGAAGCGGAGACGAGCTTCACTGCATGCCATCTGTATCAGCTGAGCAGATTGTGTATAATTCATTACGTTGCAATCACTGTTTCTTCTATCCTAAAAACGACGCAGGAATACGAACCTCAAGGTAATTAAAGCTGGTGTCCACGGCGTCAGCTTGAGCTCGTTACAACATCCATTGCTGTCCTACTTACTGCCCAGACACGGAACGCGAACAAAATATTAACGCAAATGATAAGTTATACTGTAAATCGCCCCTTCCGTGGTGCACGCAGCAGCAGCTGACTTCGTTTCCTGGCGACACTGGGCAAGAGTATTAGAACGGTGCGTTGTTTGGCCCGATTCATGGCTGGGGTTAGCCTTGTCGTCACGCTCTTGAGACGCAAATATTCCTGTAGCCAAGATCCTCAGCCTTACACAGTGTCAGGGTCACAAATGCAATCATTCATGCTCGAGATGAATGGGGTTAAAGTCATTTGAGCGCAAGCTGTTTGCTCAGACACGATTTTTCAGCTTGCAGTTTGAATAAACTATTGCCTGCATCTTTCGGTTAATATAGCATCGCCAAATTTGTGCTGGCGAACAACGTGGACGAGCGTTGAAACCAAATATCGACGCAGGTGATTGGCATCGCAATGACTCGGTGCCAATGCCGTTTGCCGGAGTGGAAAAGGAACAGAACTTTTGGCCAAGGTCTGGCTCGACGCATGCTGTGTGACACGGCACTTGAGCGCGAATCGTGGCTCCAATGGTGAAACATGCGGATTCCGGAGCGTCGAAGAGACCGAATTGCACCGATAAAGGCGTCGTCTCCATTCGAATAGGCCGTGGCCGGGATGTTGCGATATAACCTTTGTCTCTCATCATTTCACTGGTCTTACACCGCATGGGACGCCATGTCAGTGCATCATTTGGTCCGCACAATGTGTTGCCCCAGCAGGGGCCCCAGCAGCCGGTCGTGTATCCCACGCGTCTTGATGCAAGACAGTCCTGGTTACGGTTGATATTGCAGTTGTGATGGTATGTAACGGTCCCTATGTTTTCAGCAAAGCCATCATGTTGTACGCTCTGAACAAGTACGCTCCGGACAGCAAGCTGTACCCGAAGGATCCGGCCGCAAGAGCCGTCGTGGACAGTCGTCTCTTCTTCGACTTTGGGTTTTTCTCTTCCATCAGGGGCATTGTGGTAAATAATGACATGCAATGTGCTTGTGCGTCCAACACTTTCATGCGATGAGTTGCAGAAAAGCATGTTTCCAGTGATGAGAAAACAGGAGTGTGGCTTTTAACTGAAAGATGGTTATAAGCACCGTGAGCTCCGGCCTCCGTGATGTGGCCGGTGAAACATGGCGACGACAGCTCCAGCGAAAGGAACGGCGTCAACTTTGAGTGCGCTACTTGGCAGTAGATCTTGGTACCCAGATTAGTTGCGATCTGCTTTGCGAGGTTTCTGACCCCAGAAATCGATGCATTGAAAAGTTTTGGACTTAATCTTAAAGCATAGATATGCTCAGTAAACTTATGTGCTGGATTTCCGTCGACATAATTTACGTGAGATTTGCGTGAGATCACCTTGTTTCGGTAGATATACTCCATACAAGACACTCCAGTCCGGTGCGTTCATTCGGCTTCAGCAGGTGACGTAAATTCTACTGTCGGAGAAGTAAAATCCTTGACGCGATCACTGCGGCGAATTCGTTGGGCCGTTGAAATTGGCTTCCGGTCTCCCAGCGCCCATGGGTGGCGGCGACTGTAATTATTGGACGGCAGCGGCTTTTTACAGTTTAGACCAAAGGATTTACCTGGAATTGAGTCATAAAACAGATATTATTGTGTGCAATACATATTGTCATCCAGTCTTGGGTTCATCCAACATCAGTGGTGATCTACGTAGTTGAGCTACGCGCTATTTTTCATGACTTGTTTTTTACAATATGCTTTGACTGCATATTGTCAAAAAACAAGATGCTAAACTGATCGGCTGCAACGTAGGTCATGGATGCAGATTGCAACCGGTTCCTAGCCCGAAAAAGCCAGTGGAAACTGAAGAGCCAGCTGATATGGTGCTTGCCCGCCCGTGAGACGATAGCATCTTGCTTCTGTTTCAGTCTTGCCTCTTGCTAATTCCGCCTCCCTCGCCTCAAATCGTTCTGTTCGTTTTTTTTCTGTTCGTTTTTTCAAAAGCAAATCTTTCTGGGTTTTTTCCCCGTCATTCTCGCCTTTCATGGTCTGCCTCTTCTTTCTCTCTCCCACCCTTGCCATCTCGCCCCCCATCTCTCTCTCTCTCTCTCTCTCTCTCTCTCTCTCTCTCTCTCTCTCTCTCTCTCTCTCTCTCCTCTCTCTCTCTCTCTCTCTCTCCTCTCTCTCTCTCTCTCTCTCTCTCTCTCTCTCTCTCTCTCTCTCTCTCTCTCTCTCTCTCTCTCTCTCTCTCTCTCTCTCTCTCTCTCTCTCTCTCTCTCTCTCTCTCTCTCTCTCTCTCTCTCTCTCTCTCTCTCTCTCTCTCTCTCTCTCTCTCTCTCTCTCTCTCTCTCTCTCTCTCTCTCTCTCTCTCTCTCTCTCTCTCTCTCTCTCTCTCTCTCTCTCTCTCTCTCTCTCTCTCTCTCTCTCTCTCTCTCTCTCTCTCTCCTCTCTCTCTCTCTCTCTCTCTCTCTCTCTCTCTCTCTCTCTCTCTCTCTCTCTCTCTCTCTCTCTCTCTCTCTCTCTCTCTCTCTCTCTCTCTCTCTCTCTCTCTCTCTCTCTCTCTCTCTCTCTCTCTCTCTCTCTCTCTCTCTCTCTCTCTCTCTCTCTCTCTCTCTCTCTCTCTCTCTCTCTCTCTCTGCTCTACCCGCCTTCACTTTCTTTCTCCTTATCCGTCCACCTTATAGATATCTGTACCATTGCCTCTCTCTCTGTTTTCCTATACCTGTCTGTTTGTGCCTGTTTTTTGTTTTTCTTCATGTATTTCTGTGCTTCCATGCCTACCCATTTGCCTGCCTCGTTGTGTGTAGACATGAGGTGAGGTTAAGGTGTTTGCATTCTCTTTAATATCAACACTACGTAATTTCTGTGACTAGCATCAATGCATCTGTGCTTCAGTTCCCGCTCTTGTTTATGAAGAACCTGAAGGAGTCCCAAGCCAACTTCGGCAAGGTGAAGAAAAACTTGGATGCTCTGGAGATATTCCTGTCCAGATCTGATCCAGATCCTCCTATTCCTGTCCAGATCCTGTCCAGATCCTCCGTGCCTGGAATCTAACAGTCGGTAAAATGAACCTCAGGACGCTTTATAGCGCGTGGATTGTGTCCGATAGCCACTTTATTAGGTTCATGACAAATACGTACAGCTGCAGATGATGCGTTCTTTGCTCGTTTCCACAGTTTGCATTGAATGATATCCTGCGTTTTACGTATTTGCACACCAGTCATGGACACGTCATCAGCATGGGCAATTTCCACGGTACGTACTTATTATACAATACAAACGTTTTCCACGGTAGTGTGCCGTGCTTCTCTGTGGTGTACTGAAATTTATCATGAGATGTCCTCTGTATCGTGCAGTCATTTTATAGGGAATGTTTCACATCTGGAGATATTGAAGCAAACACCACAAACAAGCACAAGCACATATACAAGTACAACAAACACAAGCACAAGTGTAATGAAATAAGCTGTTTTACAACTATTGGTCTACTTTGAAATGGAAAAGGCTGCCTTAGACAACACAATTTGTCTTGTTAGGAAATATGCTCCTCAATACGTCATTGTTTGAGTGCGTCATCCTACCTTGCGCAATATTGATTGAGAGCCTGTGGGCGACCATTTTATCTAGAAATTGTCATCAGTGGCGCCATAGATGCCTGGCTGACCTTGAAGTAGTCTGCACATCTTCGAGGGCGTGTGTCTCAGAAGCTAGATGTGTTGAAGTCTTAAGAAGGGCAGCTATGTAAACGGCACTGAATGATCTTCAAGATGGCCATTTCAGATCACAGTCCTACACAAAAGTGGAAGACTCGCTTTAAAAGCTGGACTTCCATTGATATTACACGTGTCTCGATGTCTTTTCAACTGAAACAAATAACTAAAGTACTAATAACATAGATCCACAATGGGAGTCCTTTAAAACGAAGACAGTATGCGAATGCTTACGACCATTCGCGGAAAAGTAGAGAGCGACGAACGAAAGTGATGCCATTTGATGTCATTTGCCATTTGAAATGGGGATATAGTTAAACATCACAGCTGGTTGACACAACTTTGATGTTGCGCGCTGCTGTCAAGAGTAAGGCGACGGTAGTGCTATTTTCATGACTCGAATCAAATTCAACTATTTGTTAAATTCACACGCATGGTAAACACAACCATCCGTGAGCTTCAAATCAGCCTCAGATATATTCGTCTCGACGCCCACATCACATTCAAATGCTTTGAATTGAACTTAAATATATCATTTTATACTTGATGTTGATTGATTCGAAAATGACTTGATTCATTTGATTGATCCGATTTTGATGACTTTTTAATTATTTGGACTTCATACAAAACTCACTTCCGCGAAGCATTAACAGCCTTAACGTAAGCGACTAAGGTTGACGTGCTGAATCTCTGGGATAAAAGCTTAATACCTATGAATCGTATCAGAGAAGTCTTTATCTGGCTAAACTTCGAACCTGTTAATTATCACTGAATGCTCGATCAGGATCATGACACGCAGCAGACATTACGTTATACACCTTTCACACAATTTTAGCTATCAGCGATTTAATAATCTAGTCAGTCGCGTTCCTTACCTGAAATACGAGACGGTCCTCAACACTCATACTGGTGTGGCGTTGATACATCAGAAGGCATTCTTTTTGTTTATGTGCTATTTTGCTTTCAGTATCCTGAAATTGCTCTTCCCTTGGGTGAAGGGGTGATCTTATTTACGAGGAGGTACAAAAGTTATATCATTGCTGACATGTTTAACGCAACAAAGGTGGATTGGAGCATACAGCATTTGACTGCATACTAATTGCCCTCCAGTTGCTTCCTCTTTTGCAACCCCAATCACCTTCTGCTGGTATGGAATCGTGCGCAAGTACAAGTATTTCCTTATTCTAGACTTCCCACCATCCCTGTCTACTCAAGACCATGTATTCATGATGTGATAGTTACTCGTGATCATTAACAATGCTTGTTTTATTTACATCGTTAAAAAATGCATCTCAGGTGTAACGTAACCATTAAGAATTTCCCCAGCCTAGCTGTAAATACACCACACACTGACGGTACCAAGTTGCCATGGTTCTAAATCAGCAGGCATTGAGGGCGTAATTTTTTCGCAGTGCAAATTTCGCAGTGGAATTCAAGGGCACTGGGCCTGCCAAGTTTTCTTATGCAAGATACGTAGAACAAGCAAGATGCATCCCATGAGCGCTTCTAAACCTCCAACACATTCTTAACTCGTGACGTATGTGGACTTTTGCGCATCATCTTTCACAAAATACTTCCGCAACGGATGTACCGCAATGCAGCACTCATCCCTCACTGGGCCCGTGTTGAGGCTAAAGCTGTCGGATTATTGCTTCTCATCAAGCTCAACAAAAAAGGAGAGACAAAATGAATCGGAAACGTGTCACAACTCCTCATAACTTCTAATCATTTTTTGGAAGACCGCCCGTATTAACGATCAAGCAGCGATGTAGAAACACTACGCTAGGCGTCTTCCGGCATTTCCGGCACGGTCTTCGGGCATTTCCGTCATTGCTTGGCGAACGGTGATACCACAGAACTGAAAACAAAATAACAACTCTCGTCTTGATTCGCCGTTTTTTATCAAGCAGGCTTGAAAAATTGGCTCCACTAGGCCAGGCCAATATCAAAATTGTCTTGAATTCAAACTCCTTCTGTTTCACATGTTCATATGTACAGGACTATACCTTACAGTGGCAAGAAGATTCTACAGGCGTATTCGTAGTGTACTTCTGAGACCATTCTTATGTAATGTTATGGTGCTTGAGCATACGCTTATGATGTAGGGCCCCGTTCATGTGATAGTGCCGACCAGCCGCGCCAGGCGCGGAATCGTCAGCTGCCCTCTGCGCCAGTCCGCGAAATCGTCGGCTGCCCACCGCGCCAGGCGCGGAATCGTCGGCTGCCCGCCGCGCTAGTCCGCGGAATCGTCGGCTGCCCGCCGCGCCAGGCGCGGAATCGTCGGCTGCCCGCCGCGCCAGGCGCGGAATCGTCGACTGCCCGCCGCGCCAGTCCGCAGAATCGTCGGCTGCCGGCCGCAGCCTGCCCCGGCGGTAGACCGCCATGTTTCTAAAAAAACATCGCTTCCCATAGAGAACAAAAGCTGGTAACACGTTTTTGTGTTAAACCACGTGCAATAGATGCCCCAGAGGCTAAAGAAAATTTCGGCGCGATTTCAGAAAAGGCGAGGATTTACCTATTCGTTCCCTAGAAGCGCGAGGATTTGCGCATTACATTATTTAAAGTTCAATGAAAATATAAAAGGAGGTTGGGAGCTCTCTGATTCACGAAGGATGTTGTGACCGTTCCACCCTTGGTAGGACATGTAGCCGTGGCAGATTGCCTTTGGCCTGCGTTCCGATGCAAGTGTTTATCGATGCCCCACTTTTTCTGCGATGCTCCACTCCCAAACTTCCCTGATTAGACACCATGACCATGCCACGCATGCCCGAACCCAAAAAAAAAACAACAACAACTTGGGGTTGGATCCCAAAATGTCGGCTGCCGGACTGCCATGCCGCTGAGAGACGGTCAGTTAATGGCAGTGTGGCAACTTTTCGGCATGATTCGAGGACATTATTTGCTGAAGCTTGAGGACCAATGGTGTCAAATAATTACACTGTTGAATGAAATTGCTCAACAAAGACCATACAATTGATAGACGAATTTTAATTTTTCAAAGGAATTGACCCGCGCCCTGCCAGGGATCTGAGGTAACCGCGCCCGCTCGTGGGGGAAGTTGACCGGCTCCTTAGGATCTTCAACTTTCAGACGCCGCATGAGAAAAGATACCCCTTTGTAGGTCTCTTCAAATCATGAAGGATGTACACAAAATTTTTTACATTGGGTCAAAACTTAAGTCACCAGAGGCCAAGAAAGATAAAAAAAAAAACGGTCGTTGCGATAGCTGTGGTTAAAACCCGTGTTAACACATGCAGACAGGTGTTGAAGGCGCGAAAAAAGCGTCTTTGGGAAGTCCATTCTGACCATTTCTGTTCCCTACCTGGGTCAGGTCAGATCAGGTCCCGCTCAAAATTTGACTCCAAGTAGCCTACACAAACGATACTTTTCTTCGAAATGCGCTTCTGACTACATTTTTGTATCAGGTGCAGCTGTAGAGTAAAAGTATTTCAAACATAAATATTATATTTAACGGTGATCTATAGGTCATCTTAGGTGAACTTAGGTCAAATTTATATACCATTCAAACGAGAGGAAAAAAATCAAGTGCTAACCGGGTCGATGTGACCAGTGCAATGAATTTCTGTGGTCAGAAATAGTTATATAGTAGGAACACCGACAACAATAATAATAATAGTTGTACATCTACAGGTACTCAAAATCGCGTAGCTGTCATTTACATCATACATAGTCCTTTCCACGCTTGTCAATGTATTTGTAACAAACTGAGAACAGGCATGTTGGGACATGAAATTATACGCCATCAGCTTCACAAAACGATAAGGAGGTGGTTACACGGGATGCGCTCGTCCATCTAGTCTCTCTGCTACTGGTGGCATAGGTCATTGACCCTGGATAACCTGATGTGACCCTGCATGTCCTTTTGGAAACTATTGTGTTCTAATTTATTAACATGATATAACAACATGTTCTCAACAGAACATGCAAATTCTGCGTCCAAACTTACGGATAAAACATCCTACTTTGTGTAAGCATGTGTTTTGGAGAAGATACCCCCGGAGATAGCTCATGATCTGGGCCAAGGTCATGTGCGTTGTGGTCTTATGATGACTTCATGTAAGTTCGCACTCTTAACGTCATATGCACTCGCGAAAACTACGCAAAGGTGTATATATGTTTACGCTATTTGTGAAAATAGCAACAATTGACCTTACTTCAGGTCACTGGTCTTGCATCTTCCGAGAAATCTCAAATATATAAGCTGTAGGTACTATTATG